AGAAGGTGAGTACTGGTCTTTTCTGTTTTCTTTGTACTGGACCTTTAAATGTAAGAATTCTGCCTGACTGCTTGTCAGCTGGACTCCAGAATATTTATATTTGTTTGTTTCCTTTAACCACTGAAGTACAAGTTTTACTTTGAGTGTTTGGAAAAAAGTCTTATGCTCTGCTCTGCACTGCAGCAACATCCCTCCGGACAAAAAGAGCTAAACATAACTCTATTCAGAGCCAGTCATTTCCAGTCCCACTACATTTCCTGGAGTGGACTAGGAAGTAATTCTCAAGTAATTCAAAAGTTCTCTCTTCCCCCAGGGAATGATACTGCTTCTGCAGTGTTCCAGACCCCATCAGTCCACGAAGAAAAGGACTCTGTCTATCCTGAGCTGATCACCTATATTGCAGCACATTTCATTGCCAACAGAATGCTGGGTCAGCCTTATTTCACTTCTTTTAAAAGCAGTCTGTTAGCAAATGATTCAAAGCAGTTCTGAAAATACATGTATTGCTATCAGCAGTACTGAACTTAATATACAAGGCATTTATACAGTTTCCTTCCTAAATCCATCCTGGAGTTATTACGTCAATACAGAAAGGAAGAGGTAGTAAATCAAAATTCCATCCAATTATGCAAAGCACAAGTTATAATGAGAACACATTACCATTAATAAATATAAACTTAATGTGACAGCCATGTACTATTTATGTATACATTTCCAAATAGCTGAACATTTTTAATGCTAAGTGAAGCAAACAGCTAAAAAAGTGTTAGACCCTTCTCTCTCTCTCTCTCTCTCTCATACACTCTCTCTCTCTCTCATTCCCAAATTCACATTTTCAAAAATGTTTTTCATTCATCATGGGCTTTATTGTATCATCTGTTTTTAAGAGGCACTCCTTATGGATTGCAGTTGGGAATTCTGCTTAAAAACTGATGGTATTGTAATGATAGCTGGAACTCTGAAGTAGGAACCAAAGTTACCCATAGTGTTGTATGTAATGAGCCTTATCAGCAGAAGGACATGGCTTGTACTTGAAGCTAGGCAGGCAGGCCAGCAACAGCTATCTGTACAGTCTTATCAAAAACAAGTTAAGTAAATTGTTTACTGTTATTTAAAAGTCTCCAATATGTTATTTTATGTTAGCAACAGCTATTACAGTACTATATGGCCCATGAACAGGCTTAAATCAGCACATGCTTGAATTCTTATCAAGAAAAACCCGTTTTTGTAAGGTTACCAAAGTTCAAGAAAGAAAGAAAAATTTAGCAATAAAAGCGATGTAATATTAATTAGTGTGTGTAAACATAACTGATAGATGTTTTTGT